ACATACCTAGCACATATAGTACATACGATAGTACATACATAGTATGTACGTAGTACGTAGTGCATAGTACATACATAGTACATACATAGTACATACATAGTGCATATAGTACATACAATAGTGCATACAATAGTGCATACATAGTACATATAGTACATAGAATAGTACATACAATAGTACATACATAGTACATAGTACATAGCACATACATCGTACATACATTGTACATACATAGTACATACATAGTACATGTGTGTAGAACATACTGTGACAAGGAAGCTGCGAAAGCAGCTGCAGAACCTACATGAGTTTTTGAGGAATTTCGAGACCTCTGTAAATGAGGGCGCCACCCGGCCATCACTGCTGTCTCAACCCGAAAAAGGTGTACGGGACATCCGTTTAAATTGGAACGATGCAGAGAACATTACAATTGCCCCTGCGCAGAAAAAAAGAAAAACTAAAACGTATGTCAATGAACTCCGGAGTATAACTTTCCGGGACCTCAGTACCGATAATCGTTGTCATTTTTTTCTTGATTTGGTTGGGAATTTTGACAGGACCCTAAGGCAAAAGTTGTTTGTATTGTAATGTTCTACGCTGTGTTTCTTTCCCGGATTTTGTTTCGCATTGAAATGTTGTGCAAAAAAAAAAAAAAAAAAAAGGCTGTGCAACTGTGCAACATATTTTATTTGTGGATTTTCTGAAAGTTACTCGAAAAATTGAAATTCTGCAAAAATCAGAGAAAAGTGTCACAGACATTGTGTACCCCGAATACGATGTACATACGTTGTATTCGCACGTTGTTGTATTCGCAAATAAAAGAAAACAACGATTTCTGCGCACTTCTTTTTCAGAAGTAAGTTGAATACGACGATATATAAGTTCTTTTTCGGGTTGAGACGGTTGTTGGCCATCACCGAGTAAAGTTTTGCGCCCAAGATTAGTTGGCCAGCACCGAGTTCTGAGATGGACTCTGCAAAAGCCAGAACTATTCATCAAAAGACATTTGAATCTGACGGCAGTGACGTCTTTCTTGCGGTTGTTCTGTGAATAGCATCTGATCCCAGTACCATATTCTGATAGTTTGACAGATTAAACCACCAGTCCTTGGGCCCAGATATCAAGTCCGAGCCTCGGCCGGCCGGTATGCCGAGCCTTGCCAAGGCTCAAACTACTGGGCGCTAACTTCCCATACCTACTTGCAGGAGAGCACGGAAAAAAGAAGAGGGGGGAAAAAAAACACTAAATGAAAAAAGCAACGAGAGAAAAACGGGATTTACTCTATAGAAAAAAAAAGAGAAACACAGAAAAAACATGGTAACTCGTTTTTAGGAAAAAGAATAACAAAGAAAACAAGCAAAATGATATTTTGTTCGCGTGCGCTAGAGACACACACACAGAGAGAGAGAGAGAGAGAGAGAGAGAGAGAGAGAGAGACACTCCACTACTCTCGAAATGTGCAAAACGAGAGTGAATCTTCCCCTAGAACATGGAAAGATACACCGCCATGACTTGTCTTTCGTGCATGTCAGTTGCAGAAAAAAGTACCGACTGACTCTCTCTCTCTCTCTCTCTCTCTCTCTCTCTCTCTCTCTGTCTCTCCCCCTCCCCCCCCCCACTCCTGCGTACCTGTGAAATCAGATCCGTTTGTTTTCTTTGTTTCTCTAGTTTTTCGTGTGTTCTTTTCTTTTTGTTCCTTATATTTCTTGTGCTGCATCCCACAGATGGTGGCACTCGGCCTTGTAGCAACAATCTGGCCTTCCCTTGGCCGACCCCCTAAGCCGTGGGCGCGTTAACGGGAAAGGCCTCCGGCCCATGTATGGGCCAAGTACTGGTGGTTTAAGAAAATTTTGGGTCCTACTTTGGGACATCCCTTCAAATTGGAGCAATACAGAGAAGATTAGCACGGCCCCTGCGCAAGGACGACACATGAACCAAGAAATGGTCCCACTTTCTATGTAAAAAAAGGGGAAAAAAAATTGATTACTGCAATCAGACAGCAGCCACCCTGTCCTGAGGATCTGGACTTCGACCCTGCTGGTGAAAGCGACTGGAGCCATGTCCTGCGCAGCGCCCCAAGCTACTGGTTCAATCCCTGTGGCCCATTAGTTTGAGATTTGTTTTTTTATTATTATTTTTTAACAGAAGGCTCCTTCTATTGTGGGGAGATGCAGTCAGGTTCTTTTTCCATATCGTCGTGGCATCGTCAGATTCTCCATTTCACACCTCATACCAATACCCACTCCCTTTCAGTCTCCTTTTGTGTTCTTCTCCCTTTCTCTCCTTTGCCCTTCTCGGCCGTCTCCACCCTCTTTTATCGCCCTCTGCTTGTGCTTCTCTCTTTCTCCTCTACCTTCTTTTTTCTTTCATTAGTTCTTGCACTAAGAACTGTTGTTCAACATCGTGCCTTCTTTCGTGATTCCAGGCACAGCGTTGCAGTTTGCAAATGCAGGATATGCGACATTCGCAATGGATTATGAGGGCCACGGGAGGTCCGACGGGCTCCGTGCGTACATGGAGAAATATGAGAATGTTGTAGATGATTGTGTGGCATTCGCTAAGTCCATTCGAGGTAAGCATGTTTTCATTTCTAGTCGCTTTTTCACACAGGAATTTGTTCAAAAGTTGTGTGCTTTACCTCTCTATACTTGGCGTTGCCTCAATAGGTGACAGCTGGAGTAACACGCTCCAACCTCACTGCTCTTGAACTGACCATCCACCTTCTCTGTCGTCTCCTCCTTGTCCACCACCTTATCCTCTCTCTTATCCGTTCTCTGCCGCCGTCATTGCCGCCATTGTCAGCAGAAAGGAAAAAAGGATTTCAAAACAAAAAAGAAGTTTAAAGAACCTCTGTCCTTTCGTCTTCAGGTGTATAGCTGCGCTGTACAAAACAAAAAGTAAAAAGGTCATGTCGCCTAGCGTGTGGTCTCTCCACCTCAGATCGTCTCTTGTCATACGCTCTTCCCGAATCATTTGTTAACTGGGATTTAAGTTGTTAAGAAGAATACTGAAGAAGTATACTGCAGATCAACAAAGATATATGATTCCTGCTACTTCACCTCCTGTCACTATCAATCCTTTCTTTGGAAATCATCAGCTGTCCTACTTGCCCTTCTCTTCATCTGCTACGATCTTATCCTCTTTTTCCCTACTACCATCATCTATTAGCCTATTTTTATTTTTTTACATTCTTTCCTCTCGCATGCCATATTCCCCTCCTTTTTGTGGTCCTCCGCATGTGCTACGTTATACCTATTTTTTTTAAGTCCTTTCCCCTCTCACATGCCATGTTCCTTGCCTTGTGGTCCTCCGCATGTGCTACGTTATGTCTCCCTGCTACGATCCTGTTTCATTCTCCTTACTCACTTCCTCAGTCCCTCCTTCCCACCCCCTCCTCCTCCCCTGCCTTTTTCAGTATTTCACTACCATCGTCAATTACTCTTTTTTTTTTTAAGCGTTCTTTCCCTTCGCATGCCATGTTCCCCTCCTTTGTGGTCCTCTGCACGTGCTACTTTATCCTGATTCATTTTGCTACGATCCTGATTCATTATGCTTCTTCTTCCTCAGTCCCTCCTTCCCCCCCTGCTCCTCCTCCTCTGCCTTTTTCGGTAATACACTGCTGTCATTAATTAGCCCGCTTGTTTTCTGCCCTTACATGCCGCGTCTCCCTCCTTTGTGATGCTCCAGTCCTGCTACTTTATCATCTCTGCTACGACCCTCTTTCATTATCTATCCATCCATCCTTGAGAGAATTGGAACTGAAATTTGAAGGAGTGGTATCTGTCACAGCTGAACTGAAGAATGGTTCTGTCCCTGTAACTGCACCTTTTCTTTTTCTTTTTCTTTTTCTTTTTCTTCTTCTTTTTCTTTTTCTTGTTCTTTTTCACAACTGAACTGAAGAATGCACATAATCTTGCTCCTTGTCTGGTCTTATCTCACCCTCCAGCCATCCCCCTCTCTTGCTCCACCCCCTTCTAGTCCTCCCTCATGCTCCGCCACTTGTCCCTCTTGGCAGAGCAGCAGCATGAATGCTGAAAATTTGCAAATGGAAAATCCAGCACTCCGCATTTTTATCGCCAAATCGCTGCAGAAATACCTCCTGGACTGTCAACTCTCCTTGCTACCCCTGCCTGTCCCGGCCTTGCCTATATGTTCAACTGCTAAATTTTGGTTGTCCCTGTAACTTCACCTTTTTTTCTTTTTCTTTTCCTTTTTCTTTTTCTTTTCCTTTTTCTTGTTCTTTTTCTATCTTTTTCTTGTTCTTTTTCCTTTTCTTTTCCCAACAAAAACATGGGCCCGTCTATTCTGGGGGTGACAGGCCGGTTGCTTATCACCGGCAAGCATAGTACAAGATACAGTGGAAAGAAGAGAGCAGCAGAAGAGTTTAACTGCGCCTTTTCATCACACTAACTGTTTGGAGACACAGGAATAAAGCACATGTACAGAGATAGTGCACAGACACAAGAACAGGACTTGGCAAGCTAAAAACACCCAGATACAGAAATATCAAACTGAAAAAAAAAACTATGTTATGCAGACAAATAAACTGAACAACTTCCCAGATACAGGAATATCAAACTGACTGAAAAAAAAAACTATGTTATGCAGATAAATAAACTGAACAACTTTTGCCTCAGGGTCACATTGAAATTCCTTACGAAATTAAGAAAAAGAAAATTATGATTATTATTTGTTTTTTGTGTGGGCCGACCGAAGCTAAAAATACCCAGATGCAGGAATATCAAACTGATTGGAATTCCTAACCAAAAAATAAAAGATAAAAAATTATGATTATTAGTATTTTTTCGGGTGGGCTGACCGAAGCTAAAAACACCCAGATACAGGAATATCAAACTGAAAAAAAAAAACTATGTTATGCAGACAAATAAACTGAACAACTTTTGCCTCACGATCACATTGAAATTCCTTACAAAATTTAAAATATTAAGGTAGATTATCATTTACAGTGTAATCAGTGAGGGGATTCTGCAGACTGTTGAGGGTTCAGCCTCCTGATGAGTCGGTGAAACTCCGACGAAACAGTTTGTCACAGCCCCTCGTTTGTTGTCCTCTTCTCTCTCTCTGCCTACGGTTTACCGGGCAGTTCTGTTTGTGACGATATATATGATTATTATTATTTTTGTGTGGCCTGGCCGGGCAAGTGGTCCCGGGCCACTCTGGTAGGTGAAAACCGATATACAAATAGCAATGAAATGTTATTTTCCGACTCCACATGGTCCTTGTTGCACGCCACCTCAGCCACACCTCAATGGCCTTGTGTATAGGGGGTTTGCCAATTTGCCGACTCTTTTCTCCCGAATACGACGTAGGGTCATTATATCTGTATTTCGACTATATTTCAGTCTAGATACGTCAGGAATGACCGTGTGTTGTATTCGGGTGAAGACGGTAGGTTGCCAACCTGTGAGAGAGGAGGGACATGTTACTATTTTTCTGCTGATTGTGACTCGTTAGCGAATGTGATGAAAACCCAGGTGTCCTCCGCCTCATCTACTCCACGAACTTTCAGCCGAGGGGCTTGCCACTTCTACTACTGTCTTCACCCGAATAGAACACCCGGTCATTATAGCCGTATCTGGTAAAGTTTTGAGTCCAGATACAGCTATAATGACCGGGTGTTCTATTCGGGTGACGACAGTAGTCAAGGTGTGTGAGAGGAGGGACATGACTTGTCAACCTGTGTGGGAGGAGGGACGTGGAAGCAAAGGGTTACGTAATTGCTACTTGGAGCCTGCATGCATCCACATGAGAGCACACAGATCAAGAACATGTGCATACAAACATATCCATACCCTTGAGAAATGTGGCCTATCTTCTCACCGATGCGGCAATTCTAGTGGACAGTCTGAACTGCGGAATGTGTGTATGTTTGTGCTCATGTGTGTGTGTGTGTGTGTGTGTGTCTGTGTGTGTGTTTATCTGCGGCTTGATATTTCAGAGAGGAGCGAGTGTGCTGGAAAGCCATGCTTCTTGTATGGTGAGTCATTGGGTGGTGGAATTGCTTTACTCATTCACAAGAAGGAGCCACATTCATGGAATGGAGCTGTTCTCGTTGCTCCCATGTGCAAGGTGAGTCTTTTTTTTTGGGGGGGGGGCGGGCGGGGGAACAAGATGGTTATAAGGTGCTCTCTTTGCTCTCTTTCTCTCTACTTGTAGAAAGGATTTGCAGTTTGAAAAGAAAAAAAAAGAACGAGGCCGGGAACCTCGCAATTCAACCCGGATGTCCGGGGGCTGTTCGCCTGCGCTGGCTTTTGATTTGCAGTTTGAAAAGAAAAAAAGAAAAAGAACCGGGCTGTGAACCATGCAGCTGTAAGGGGGGGCACATTATTTTCAACCATGCAGCTGGGGAATTAGAGTTCCGTGATTGGGTCAGTTCACACCTGAGTGGATGTTTTTGTTTCTCGAGTCATACGTAGGACAACTGCCCAAGGATTCGGTATGGGGATTACAGGCTATGTCTTCTCTCTCTGTGCTGGGGAAGAAGGGCAGGGCAGCGTCTACCATTTTGTATCGCTTTGGATCCTTTGTTAGCTACGTGCTCGGACACCAGGCTGCACTACTGTCTTGGCCCGAATAGAACATCCGGTCATTATGGCTGTATGTGGTGCAACTTTCAGTCCAGATACGGCGACGAGTACCGGGCGATCTATTCGGTAGTGTTACATGCGTTTCGTTGAGCTATAGCAAGAAGTGATGCAAGCTTCAAATAACAGCCGGAAGTTGCGGTTTCACATCCCATTTTCCTCCTGGTTCATGCTTACGTGCTAAGCCAATGGTGGCGGTGTTGCTGGCGTGTTCTGTTTGCAGATTTCAGAGAAGATTAAGCCACCTGCAACTGTTACAAAGATGCTGACCTGGGTTGCACCGTTGGCGCCGACACTCGCAGTCGTGCCGTCGAAAGACGTGCTCAGCCGATCCGTCAAGGACTTGAAGAAGAGGGAGTTGGTGAGTGCATTTCGTTACGCAGTCGTTCGACTCTTTTTCGTCTTTTGTAGTGCCCTGGTCTTGAGCTGTAATCAACGAGTCAAGGCACTGCTATCTGAAAGCCCTAACCAGGCAAGCTATGTTTCTTTCTTTCTTTCTTTCTTTTTTCCATCCTTGCGCAGTGGCCATGCTAATCTTCTCTGTGTCATTCCTATTTTAATGAATGTCCTAAAGGACGGGCAAGCTATGTGTTTATACTCCAACATGATTCCTCCGTCCACACAATAATATAGTCCATGGATAAATATCAGATATGCAGCACCTAGTTTTCTCTGCGCCGCACCGCGCACACCGGCAGACATGCTTTCGACAAGCTTGTGCATTCATGTGCAGTTGCACAATATTTCTCACACGCAGACTTCCTTTCACAATCCGCTGCAATTTGGCAAGCCGGTGCACTTCGGCGAACACGTGCGCTTTGTTAAGCCTGGTACGCACTTCCGCAAGCTCGTGCAATATGTGTCATTGGCACTTTTAAGTGGACGAGGCTGAAGGGCGACGCCGACATGCTTCACGCATTCCAGTTTTTCTATGACCTAGCACATTATGTCCTCCGCGAGAGTGACGCCTCACATTTTGTGCTATTCTATATGAATATGCAGTTTGTGTTTTTGTCAATTAGTGACTTCACAGAAATTCGACAAATATGTCTTTTATCTCTCATGTTAAGCATCGACAAGCAGTCCTTTACCCAGCAGCACTGGATAGTGTATGGGAGTAGTACGATGAGGAGAGTGATTGCGCAGCCGTTGTGACAAATGCAGCTTATTTGCGTTGCCTTCATGCTGCTACTTGTTTGTGTTTGCATGGAGATTCACAATGACGTCAGCCATCATGCATGCATACGCGCACACACAGCATTTGGACGCATGCTAGAGCCAATGACGTCTGCAGCGATCCCGGGATTACTAGGATGGCTACATGGCGCATTTTTTGACCGGGCTTGTTTGATGGTTTGCAGGCACAAAGAAATCCGGCTGGCTACAAAGGTAAACCAAGGCTGAGAACCGCTTTGGAGTTCCTGAGAATGTGCAAGTTCATCGAGCAGCATATGCATGAGGTGGGTCTCTCTCTCTCTCTCTCTCTCTCTCTCTCTCTCTCTCTCTCTCTCTCTCTCTCTCTCTCT